CACACACATCATTGGGAAACAAGTGTTTGGTTGCATATCTGACTCCATGGTCGAGCATTGAAGACATCCAGAAAAGAGTCGAGACTTCAGAAAAGCAAATATGTCAATCTTGAAAAGAGTAGCCCAAGTTAACCGCCTATTATGACAATGCGCTTTTAAAAACAAAACCAAAAAACCCCCACCTAAACACAACAACAAACAATCAAAATGAAAAGAAAAAATAATAAAACGTGACAAAATCTACGCGTTTGCACACACCACGGGCAAAATCTACCCAGATTGTGACCCTGAACGTGATTTTCGCCCATAACTTCAGGCCCACTAACGGAAGTCAAACATTTCAAATTCATTAATCATGACGCACCCTCTTGTCTTTGGCCGAACATTCCCAGCCAAGTTCAAGTTCAAAGAGACGCCAAACCCTCACGTGAATCAACAGCGCTGTGGTGAGTGACTCAAACATACTGGGGTTTGTCTTGGACATTAAAGGGGATACGGAGGATAAGGATGACGATGATGATAATGATTAGAGAAACTATAGTTCTATCGTATCATGCAGATAGGGGGAGAGACATTGAGAGGCAGCACGGTCAAAACATGACTTGCTGTCACATGTCGTAGTTATCATGGGGGCATTCGTTGCCTTGAGGTTAAGGTATTCGCCTCTCATTCAAATAGCACCCAGCTAAGAGGGCAGATAATTTTGAAAACACCATAAACAACGTAAGCTCAAAAAGTAAAGGTACCCATTTCACACCCCAGCATTATATCAAGTGAACTTTGAGTGTTTGAAGTCTCTTAGTTTTGTAATTCTATTTCGTTACTTCAGTTTGGGCTTAAGTTGCAACAACACATAACCAGTTTTCGACTGGCAACCCTTCCAATTCTCAATCTAATTTAACTCAACAAAATCTTCTCAACAACACCAACAAAAAATTTTTTTAAGTAATCTTCATACCAAGCCCCCCTCTCAAATGCAATAAAAGTTAACTTGAGCAGAGATACTGACACCC